TATCCACACATATTACTTTGAAAGGCTCTTGATGGACACATGTGGAGAGCCTTAGTATCCTCCATTTAATTCCTAATTCAATTACCAGCTGCTCCCACCAATTCTTCAGTGGAAAAAACATGATCAGAAGCAGCCAATGTAAGCCAGAGGCATACATTGGCTGCCCCTGCCACTCAGTGGCTGGGGGCAATAAGTGGCACTATCAGAAGAAACAATGAAGCATACTGATTAGTCTCTCAATTAAAAAATCTAACAAATTCTAGTTTATTGCTCAATTCTATGATCAGTTATAATTTTGTGTTGCATGAAGCATTTTCAAACTTCTCTGCACATCTAACCCCATTACAAATCTAAAAAATGGGAAATTTTCTCCTCCACCAAACTTTGAGTTTTCAAAGGGATTAGAGTTGCAGAAATTTTTTATTGAAGAATTCACAATCAAAAAATTGAAACTTTTTTGATTTTCAAATTGAATGACATATTGACTGCCTCATTGTTTAATGTATTGAGGGTGCATAAAGTGCAGGGGTTGTGCAGTTTCAGAATGTCAGTGGTTTTTTTAATTTTCCCCTTGGAAGAGGAATTTTCCCCTCTTTTTTTTCACAAAAAAGGGTGTTTTTTAATTTCCCTCTTATTTCTTTCTTTCCTTGGGAAACAGGGGGAAATTCTCCCCATTTTTGAAAGAAGGGGGTTTATTTCCCCTTTTTTAAGAAGTTGTGGGAATTTTTGAAAGGGGTGTTTTTTAAAATTTTTCCCTTTTCTTAAAGAAACTTGGAAGATTAAAAAAGTTTGACATTCTGTATATGTAGAACACCTGCATTTTATGCTTTGCCAATACATTAAACAATGAAGCACAGTCATACAATACACAGTCATATTGTATATTTGATACAATAAAAATGACATTTTTTTAGTTTTTAATTTGCTGGATTTTTCAACCAAAAACAAGAAAATTCAGAAAAAATCTCTATTCCTCTAATCCCTTTGAAAATTTAAAGTTTGGCGCAGAAGGAAATTTTGTATAAATTTTCAGATTTGAAAAAAACGTGAAATTTGGAAGAGTTCATTTAGAAATGGCTTTTCATTCTCATTTTCACCTCTGTCAAATTGAATTATTTTCAAGGTTTAAAAAATGGGAAGTGTAGAGAACTTTATGATGCTTCCAATGCAGTTGAAAATTTTGCATTTCATGGCACAATTACCTTTTTGGTATACAGCATTTTAAAAGATGAAAAATTGGGAAGAAAAATGGAAACAAGAATTCAAACTTTTCAGTTTAGCTCATTCTAATTTTTTTGCTGTTGATGAAACTTGAAAATTATTCACAGGGTATATTGCACAGTGATGCTTTACAAGTCTGATCTTTTTCCAAGTTTGATCTTTTTCTTTTTACTTATTGTTCTACAAGTTTGACTCTGATTTCCAGAGTTGAGTGTCAACTGATTGATAGCTACTTCATATTTACCTTAATCCTAACTCCTTTGCTTTGGGAGTTGGATTTTTCTCAGGGAGCTGCCTCAAAACTCAAGAATGACTACATATGCACCTAGCTATTGGCAGCTCCCCAGCTTCCAACTCCCAAATTACTTGCTGGGCTGATTGCAGGAGCAATCAGGGGCTGCTCCTGCCAATATTTCCCAGCTTGAAAGGCAATGGGAGCACCACTGATTGCTCCTGAAACCAGCAGTGTCCACAGCCTCTGAGTGGTGGGAGCAGCTGATGCATGCCTCCTGTACACATTGGCTGCTCCTAGCTGCCAATCAGTGCACCCAGGAGTTCTGATTGGGCAGACTATCAGGACTCCTGCAGCCATTGGCTGCTCCTGCCTATATGTTTTTCCCTCTGAAAAATTGGCAGGAGCAGCTGTTAATTGAAGGAGAAATGAAATAGAGGATACTATAAGGATCTCCATGGCCACATATCTGTCCATCAAGAGCCTTTCCAAGTAAGATGTGTGGACAGATTGTGTATTGGTTGTGTATACCCAACCGATCACATAATGCAAGTGAACCTTGATAAGTTGAACCTCCCTAAGTCAAATTTTTTTCCAGTCCCTGTCTGAATTCCCTTAGTATCAATGCATTAAAAACCTCCCAGTTGAGACAAAAATTTTTTTATGAAACCTCTGTAAGTCAAATTTTCTGAGGCCTTCTGGTCATTATTTTCTTGAAATACAAAAGATAAAATGATTAAAACAAATAATTTGATCCATCTTGAAAGGGATTGAAAGACAAATACTGCATAGCAAATGAACCCCTGCCTCCAAGTTCAGTAAGGTGTACCCCAGAATATCCTCATTTACAATTTGCAAAATTTTTTCACTTCTAACAACAACAGTGTTTGTTTCCTCAACTGGAAACCTCAAAAAATTCAAACCTCCCTAAAATCTCTTCAAGTCGAATTTTTTCCCTGGTCCCTATAGAAATTGGACTTAGAGAGGTTGAACTGTACTGGAATTGGAGGTGTATGCCAATCCTGACTGAAGCAGTTGCATCTGGAGGTTTTTTCAACAACTTGTTGGCAGCTAACAACTGCACCTCATGAAATGCTTAGCTAGCTGTCTAGTTGGGCATCGCTCCTGAACAGGCTAGGCAGGAAGCGTGGGGGTGAGGAAAAAGATGTGTGCATGGGAGCTGTGTGCCAGCTATTCAAGACTGGCACACAGCCCTCCCTGAAGGAGCTACAGATTTTGTTACGAAGGGAGTCATATGGATAGCTCCCAACACTAGCGTGCTCTGCCTGTGCGCTAGCGCCTAGAAATGTATAGCTCCCCAATTATTTGCTGGGTAACTTAACTCCTCACTCTACCATGAACCTATGACTGGTAAACCTGTTCTGTGAACACTCCCTGTCCCTCCCAGCACTCCAGCAGACACTTTGAGAACAACATACCCCTGCCAGATATCTTGGAACAGATTTCTAAACTGCAACGGCACATCAAATGCAAACGCACCCAATTCTTCGTACAAGCCAACAAAACCAAATATAACCAATTCCCACCAGGACAATACGTTATTGTCCTACCACATCTCCTTATGATCCTCTGGCATGCAGCACATTGCTGCTTCCTCCCTATAAATGCCTAGGACCATACCATTGGTCCACAAATATTTGAGCCAAGGAAAATATGTCCTGATCACACCAAAATGCCTCTGCAAGGCTCCTGCCCAAGAACTTCAACCCTGTGAATGCCCTCCTCTACTTCTCTCTATATACTCAGGGAGTGAGCACCAGTGACTTCTACACCGCCACCATCTCACTAACCTCCTGAAAAGCACGCATTTGCACACTAAACTTTTTTTGGCACTTGACCATCCGAAGGCCAGCGCACTGTGCGCTCCCCCTTCAGACTTGTCCCAACCGGAAACAGAGAACCTTCCCTTCTTTTAATAATTTACGTGTGACCTAAAACGAAGTATCCATCTTATCGTTGACCTGAGCTTTGATGCACTCTTAATCAAATTGTTTGAATGCACTTGCAGTTGCACAGATTCTACCAAGTGTCCACTCATTTTCAAATGTAAGGTGTGCAGGCTCTCACTATACCATATAACGCCCTTCATATATATTTTCTGGCCTATCTCATACAATCTTTATAGTGACGCGTCAATGCTTCAGAAGAGCATAATAACCAAATAAGGGAAGAAAATACCACATCAGTTACACGGAAAGGGACAAATGGCTCAGTGAACATGTCATCCTCATCCTCATCACACATAACCTAATTTTCTTGATTCATATTCCGACAGAAGCTGTCGGAGGCCAACCCTGCCCTCTTTCAATCATATCGTTCTTAATCATATTGTTTGAATGCACTTGCAGTTGCACAGATTCTACCAAGTGTCCACTCATTTTCAAATGTAAGGTGTGCAGGCTCTCACTATACCATATAACGCCCTTCATATATATTTTCTGGCCTATCTCATACAATCTTTATAGTGACGCGTCAATGCTTCAGAAGAGCATAATAACCAAATAAGCGAAGAAAATACCACATCAGTTACACGGAAAGGGACAAATGGCTCAGTGAACATGTCATCCTCATCCTCATCACACATAACCTAATTTTCTTGATTCATATTCCGACAGAAGCTGTCGGAAGCCAACCCTGCCCTCTTTCCCTCGGTATGCCTATATAGTCCCATCACACAGCCCGCATCGCTTTGACAATACAATCATATATTCAACTGTTCAGCAGGCTAATTTCTCCCATGCGCCTGGGAGTAGAATTAAATGGAAGAAAAATAAGTTCATATTCAAATTTCACCCAACCAACGCTGAGCTCGTTCACACTTCTCCTCGTCTGTCTTCGTTCGATAGCAGGACAAAAATGAATCCGACGCATTTCAACGCGCTATCCCTGCATGATGGACGACTATGAGGGAAGAGCGTGTGCCCTCATTCAGCGACTTCAGCAATTCCAACATTATTTCTCTCTCTCGATTCCGATAACTTCATGTATCCCTTAAAACATACTGCTCTTGTGTACCATTATTTTTTCTGTGAATTAAAATTTGCATTAATATTGCACGGATTCTCAAAACAAGTACGTTATTAAAACCCTGGTTCGAAAATTCGAAACATCGACTTCTTTCAAAAACATTTCCGAAAGCCGCTGTCCTCATAACACAGGCGTTGATTCACCCGTCCGCTGTCGTGTGAATATAAAACGAAAAGGCATCATGCACACATTATAATCCAGGTATTTGACGAGATAGCGTATTTTCAGATTGATTGATCATTCAGATTTCAGCGAAGAGAATCCTCGGGGAGATTCTCAACACGCACAATATTCAAACCCTCGTCTGAAAATTAGAGAAGTTCGATTTAAGATCCCATTTCGAAAATATTTACGGGAGTAGTGACCTTTTGATGATATTAAAATCCATCACGCACGCAATAAAAAAGGTATTTAACGATACCGTACAGCGTATTTTCCGAATTGATTGATCATCATTTCGACTTGAACGAAGAAGAGAATCCTCAGGGCACATTGTATTGCTGCCATAGAATTTTTGTCAAAGAGATGGACTAAATCGCACAGAGAACGAAATGAACATCAAAAGTATCACTTGCGATAACGAATCCTTCCTTCACTGCCCCAGGTGACTCAGCGCGTAAATCATGAGGTATGCCAATTACAGTGTGCATGGACACAGATGGTCGAAATGCAGCAAATTCGCGATGTAGTACCGGTACTCCACGTAGTCCAGATTCCCGTCACGCTTCAGTTTCTATACAAACATATAACGACTTGTAAAATTAGCGGGAACCGGTTTCTGAAAATTCTGACACTCGTGGAGAATGAATAAAGAAAATATGGCACGTAGGCCATTATGTTCCAAAACTACGGCGTTTCCCCATACCCCCAAGATCCGGAACACACGAACCCGTTGATGGAAAAAGGCGGATACAGCTTCCTCGTACATGCAAGGATCCCCGAGCTGATCCATCTCCACAAACCGCTGCAAAGAAACAGCCGATCTTCCAGAAAATTCCCCAAGCAACAGATTCACATGAAGGATTAAAATTCATGCCAAAAATTGCACAGGTTACCATCTTGTCCAAGGAAAACACCTCTTTCAAGGGGACAAGGAAAATTTGAGACGGGGCCCATTCCGGACAGTCTATTTGAGACAGAGTCAATTCCAGACAAGGACAATTTGAGGCAGGGTCAATTAGAGACAACTAAAATGAGACCAAACCTTCACAGACCTCCCGATCTCCATTCCTGTCTGCTTCCCAAGATCTGCAGAACTTATAATTTATCACATACAATGTTACATATTATGTACATTACTTCAATTGTGTAGAATGGATCAAGAGAGGATTGAAAGCAAGAAAAATTTGGGTTTTTTAAAACCAAGAAAAAAATCTCTTGCATAGTTATGCTCATCGGATAGTCATTGCATCATTTTCCCACAGTTCTGACACTAAATACAATCACCACAAATTTTAACAAGCACGGAATATGGTTCAGGGCTGATATAGCTCATATAACTGTCTCAACATTTTTGCCATGTCTCAAATAGTTCCCGTCTTCAACTGTCCTAGATCCATTTTCAAGGGATATTCAGAGCACGGAATCTCACGTCAAAATACCCAAAACACCATTTCTAAAATTACGAGATGTGAGGAATTACTTACAGCTAATTGGATACAACGAGAAAAAAAATTGAAACATTCAGCTGCACATATTTCAATGTTGAAAAAAATACCTCATGCAGCAACTCATACATGACGAAGTCAAATGAGAGGCGGATCCTCTTTTCACCTCCTTCCATCTGCCAAGAAAAATGTGAATAAACGGGGTGTCCGAAAAATGGATGCAGAGAAACCGACAGTTCGTCTCAAAAAGAATTATTTTCATCACTTTTGAGAACATGTCAATCACAAGGTTTCCATCTCTGGTACAGAAAAACTGATTCTTGAAAAGCACTTCCTCAACGGGTAGCTCAAGTTGTTCTCGCTGGAGCCTGACTCAAGTGTTTCACTATGTCTACCCAGTTCCATCCACGCGGAAGCTCGCCACTAGCTCCATATCTGTCGAACGCCTTCCTCTTCTGCGCTTTCGTCAAATTGGTCTTCTTCACCTTCAATTAAGAGAAAGCAAATTACATTTCATCAAGAGATACATTTTGACTATCGTGAGTCTGACTATCATCACAGGAATTCGAGCACAGATGGACTCGCTTCATAACAATATTCGAAGGACCAGAGAACCAAATTCATCACGGAGGACCCAACACGGGGAGAGATCACTACGCCCTATGGCAGCGTTCACCAACCCGTGGTCTGTGGAGTGGCGCTAGTCCGCAGAAGTTTTTTTGCGGGAAATTTCCTTCAGCAGAATACAATCATCAAAAGTAGCAATTAAGTCTGTTATCTTTATCGTAAATTTCGGAAAGACAATGGCAGTTGAAATTAATGCATCTGATGGACAATAAAATTTAGCTTTTCTCTTAATAACACTTCAGACAAATTTTCACCAGCTGAATTTAATCATTTTAATTTTTCATTCTGATAAACCTTTCTTCAACCGCACCTTCATAATTTTTCCACTATAGCTGCTTCATTGATTCCCAACTTGACATTGTAGCAAAAAAATTGCCACGAAGTCTTTCAAGCAAACATTTTTTGAGCCTGCAGAATTTTTGTGAAACTTCGCCAGTCTGCAGAAATTTTTCTGGAAATTTGCCGGTCTGCGGGCCCAAAACAGTAGGGGAAAACTGCCCCATGATGGGACCAACAGAAAACCGTTAGAGACACGTTCGTTATGGAGTCGGAGAAAATCGTTGCAAACAAGATCGTTGTAGGAAGAGTCCACGTGGAATTCACTTTCTAATAGGATGAAATTCCAATGGATTCGCTCGAACGTCAAGAAGCAAGACTTACTTTGCCCGAGGACTCATCAAGACACAATTCACTCAGATCCACTTCCGGCTTGGCAGTTGGAATATACAGAGGCTGTTCCTCAGTTAGCTTGTCGACACTATCCTTCAAGGCCTCAAAAATGGTGTACGTCATAGCCATGCCTAAATTATCCACAGCAACTTTCGTAGCTTCTTCAAGAATCCCGTTTTTCACGACTTCGACCCTGCACAACGAAACGATTTCCGTAATTACTCCAGCACTTTGCGCCCTCAAGACATGCCCCTGATCTTTTAGCCTATTTTGATGAAATCCTATCCCCGTATAAGACCCCACCAAATTTTAGTGACTGAAAAACTGCAATACAGAAAGATATTTTTACAACAAACACCCAAGGAACCGATAAAAATTCACTTTAACGAAATTCATGGTTCTTTGAGCACGTAGAGCTAAAATTTTATGGGAAACAGGTAATAGATGCTTCAAAGTACTGTACTGTACTTCCAGAAGAGATATTTGAAGAATTGCCCAATTTTTTTTATTAAATCATGGAGAAAATTCAGAATGTGGAACACAATTCCCTTATTTCAGAACTTCACTTTGATACATTTTCTAAAAAAAAAAAACACTGATATTACTGAAGCATCAGCTGAAATTTTTTTAGATATACAGTATTCACAATAAGAGTGCAGTACAGTATTCATTCATTCAGAAAACATACTCTTTCAAAAAAAATTAGCAATTCCTAAATTCTCGAATAAAGCAACTTTTGATTGGAGCTTTATACTTCTTGGAATGATACATTTTCTGTAAAAAAAAATTACAATTAATACTTTCTGAAGGTTTTAATCATGCGTACGTTTGGTTTTCCCACATTGTGCCAATTATAAAAAAATTTCTAAGCACACTTAATCAAGGAAAACATTTTTATACTGAAATTAGAGAGGAAAATTAGTTTGTTACAACGATGTCCTCATGCAGAAACTGCCAGGACCAAGATGAAATTCGCTATACGGTATAACACATTCCTTTGTAACAGAATTTTACTGTATTTCAAAAATGAAGAGACCCAAGAATTCAAATTTGGATCATTTCAATTTTGATTCAATTGATGAAAATTTGTTTTTCTAGCTAATGTGAACAATGTGCCATTATATTAAAGTGTGACACACACCTATACAATTTCAACTTATTTTGAAAATTGTTTCTTGGCCTGTGATGCGCACCCCTCCCTCCCTCAATTCTGACAAAAAAGGATGAGCGTGTCACTTGGGTAAACACGGTAATTCCTATCTCCATACACACGATCACAACTCACAAATGCTGGTTGTAGAAGACGTCCAAGGAGATTTCAGGCTGAACTTCAGGGTAATCCTCCACCCAACGTACTTGGACAATGAAAGACTTCTGGGAACCATGTTCTCCGCACTGAAAGGAGGAAGAAACAAGTTCACGAGGAGCCCTACATCAGAACTACCCAATTTCGGTGGCAGACGATACCAGTCAAGAGCACACTGGAGCAGATTCCCACCTGGTACTGGAACACAGTTTCATTCAGCTTCTTGTATCTCGAGTCGCCTTCATAGATGGAATCCAGAACTTCTCTCTCTTCCGCTTGGGCTTCAGACATGCTCAAAGTACTCGAATTTATAATGGAAACAGAAACCCAGACTAGAATGAAAAAAGCAGATTCGCAATGAACAGCATGCACTTGATCGGGATTTCGCAAGGAATTCGAGGAAACAGAAAACCTGTATTTCCTTTCACGAAAAAAAAAAAAAATTTAAGCACAAATGAAGGGAACAGTCCCCCGTCTTTTAAAGCACAACTGGTATACCACGAGTCATCTTCGGGGTCCCAAAAACCTCTCCAGAGGTGCTGTAAAATGACTTAGCCCATACACATCGGGTCTGTCAGAGATTCGTCAAAAACCGAAAACGCTACGTTCTAAGCTCGAAAACCGCGTTTCGGAACAGCTCCAGATTAATCCGACAAGATGCCCATGGAATGGCAGCACCGGCTGGAGAAGCTTCGAGGATCTACGGCAGAGTTTGGCGTGTAGAATCCATTGACGAGGAGACCGTTAAGTAGAAAATGGCACAAAACCAAGCTCCACACCTCACACACAGGATCACCCCATCTTTGGATTTACTAAAATTCACGGAGGGCAAACAAAAACCTGACACAATAAAAACACTGGGACTGTACTTCATTTGCACATGACTTTCAAATATTCCAGGGCATTCTGGGCTGCAGCATTGTGGGCATCCAACTTAGTGTCCCCACTGGCAAAGCACACGGCTACTGGCTGAAGAGACAACTGAACCAGGCATTGGACCTTACCTGTAAGATTTCAATCCAAGTGTCACAAAAAAATTCTTCGTTATGCCCATCAGACGATTGTACAGCATTGTAATACCGTCAACAGAGGACGATAACGTACATACAGTACAGTAAAATTCCGTTTCAACGAGTCTCCGTACAACGAATTTTTTCTTTGCCCCGGCAGCAGTTTCTTCATGCGGACAATGGGGTTTAGAATGTCGTGGTAACGCAGTAATTTTACTCTATAATCTCAGTATAACAAATTTCTGCCTCGATTTGATGTGCACGGACCAAATAAATTTTTACTAATTTGCACAAGATGAGAAAACCCAGCATGCGCATAATTGGAAACCTGTCCAAAAATTTAAGGCTAATCTTTTTGCATAGAAAATTTAGGAAGCATGAAGCTTCGATCAAAAAGTATTCAGCTTTATTTTAGAATTTAGAAATTGCTTAAAAAAGGAAGAAAATTAGGTTTAGAAGGACACTGCTATGAATAAATGGTCTTCTTGCACCTGAATTTTCTACTTGTCTCAGCTAGTACAAGAGGAGGATCAATATACAGTGAGACCCCAACATGTGGACACCATGACCTGCGTACAATTCAACATAGGGACACTTAATTTATCATAAAAAATTAACAGAAAAAATCCCGACATGAGGACACTGACTCAACGCAGGGACATTTTGTTATAAAATTGCAAATAAATTTCAGGCCAAATTACAAGAGACAGATTTTCCAACCCTAAAATTGATGTAAGAAAATTTCTTGGGCATTTCTCTCACAAATTTACCATCCATTTAGCTAATTTAAAAAAATTACCTCCAGCAGAGAGGGACTTCCTTTTTTCTTTTATACTTGGATATTATTTTTACAGAGAATGCCAACATTTTCAAGTACTGTACAGAGGTATCAGTATTCAATTCCCCAAATGCCCACACTGTGTTGAAATAAATTGATTGGGATCAGTTTAAATTGGGAGACAATTTTATTTTCATGGAATTATGGTGAGTATTTTGTTTTATTTGAATGTTATTTTTACAGAGAATGCCAACATTTTCAAGTACTGTACAGAGGTATCAGTATTCAATTCCCCAAATGCCCATATTGTGTTGAAATAAATTGATTGGAATCAGTTTAAATTGGGAGACAATTTTCATTTTCATGGAATTATGGTGAGTATTTTGTACATGAAACACCAATTAAAAACTATATAATGTAAGTCTAAGGGAAAATGAGACTTGACTAAGGGACATTTTGACTTATAAATACTGTATATACAGTACATACTGTTTATTAATTGCAAAAAAAATTTAAAAAATTGTCAAACCAGGCTGATTTTTTTGTGTGTGCCAAAGAATATGTTTTCCCTGAAGAATAAATTTTTTTCAGTTCAATTATATGCCATTTTCATTGCTACTCCGAGAACTTTTGTTAGAACCCTCATATACCTTATATATTTCTGAATTTGCATGCAATTGGGTGGCTTGATTTGAATTTCCTCCACATACACAGCAAAGAACATCTCAAAAAACAGGAGGACTCTCTAAACAACCTTTAAATCACTAATACTGATCTTGGAATTGCATGCTTTTATTGAAAGGTTGATACAACAGGATTTCAAACTTTTTCCTGACTTGGGCATATGGTGAAAAAATTATTATTTTTTTCAATAGGTTGATAAATTGCAATTTGACCCTAATCCATAGCTGAACTAGGGTGAAATTGCAAATTGGTTGAATTGTGAAACACTCCATCAATTTCAGAATAAAAGTATGAAAATTTTTTTTAAAATTGAAAAATTAGGCCAAATTATGGGGCACGGGTCGAAGTGCTGGTAAACCTCCATACTAATTCAACCATTAAATTGCAGGATGGTTGAATTGTGGGAGGTCAAATTTCAAGGTAACACCTGTACTATAAAATAAATTTAATTGCTAAAAAAGCAGTTCATTTGACTCTCAAATGATTTTTTGTGGCTTTATCTTTTTAAAAAACAGGCTCAATGGCCTACAATTCTGCAAACAAGTCAGTTTTAGCAATATTGAATCCTTCAAATGAATTTTCTTTGCAGCATAGAATACCCCCAATTTAGTGCCATTTTTGGCAGAATAATTCGGCATGTTGTCATACCGCTCTCCACATGCGGGCACATCAAATACCTGTAATATGAAGTTTGATTAATTTCAGGAATGTTCCAGAATGTTCAACCCAAGATTGAAGCCACCATTTTAATTAGATCACAGCCCAGTCAGTCTAACGCGAGATCTCATCAAAGTCAGTTGAATTCATGTCATCAATTTGGTGGGATTATTCTTATTTGGGGTTAAAAAACCAAAATACACTTTATCTTTCTTTGGGATCTTGAAAGCAAGATCCCCAGGTGAACCCCACACCTGATTACTGTGTTTCATTTTGAATTCTGCGCCTTTTGTACCAGTTTGGGTACACCATTGTTTGTCCTGGTAGATTTTGTGTCTCTAACCCTTGGATGGTGGAGGGTTTCTGGCCATTCCGGGGATTTTTTGTTGGGATTTTTGGGGGGCAGCAAGCACATTCAAGTTTGACCCAAGGTCACTGAAATGCACCCACATTGGGAAGGCTGAAGTTGGAAACAATGCAGGAAAGGTGAATTTGTTGGCATTCCAAAATCTCCAATGCTAATCTTATGCAAGGAATCCCCCCAAAAAACCACCCAGTGAGGATTTTTTTTTGAGGAGAATTTTTATACAGGATTATAAAAAAATTTCAGACTTTTTCCTGACTTGGGCCTTGGTACAAAATTTGATTTTTTTCAATTGTCAGTGCTCATGGGTACAATCTTTCACAAAAAAATATTCCAACTTTATTGCTGCACAATGGCTAAACAAGGATGGCACTAAATCAGGGTTTGACTGTACTGTATACAGTGAGACCCTGAGATGTGGACGTAATTGGTGCATCAAGAATGTCCCCAAGTCAAAATGTCCCTAAGTTGAGTCTTGTTTTCCCATCGAATTACATTATATAATTTTTAATTGGTGTTTTCTGGAAAAAATATTCTTCAGAATTCCCTGAAAAACATTTTTTGCCACTTGAATTTGAATTAGTGAATACATTTTCAGCTCAATAAGAACATTTGGAGCATTGAATAGTGTATCTCTATACAA